GCTGCCTTCATTCTCCCAAGGCAATCCCCAAATCTGTTATCAACATCAAGATGACAGATGTATACAAGGCAGGGGCAAAAATATGGAAGATGGATAGAAGATGCATTAAGGTGGGTGGGGAAGAACATAGCACTCCAACCACGTGACAGCAGTTGCAACAATGCCCTTGGACCCCAAACTAGCAGCCCAAATAGGCTAAAAAATAAATAAATAATTTCTGCACGGAGGGGAAAAAAAAGCAAAGAAAGAAGGCTGAGGGGTAAAAAGGAATGTGCATTCAGTTTAAAGCAGTAGCATACTCTGAACCTCTCCTTTTCCATGTATTTCTCCCCAAATAAAACCTGAAAATCCCTCTGAACACCAGAGGCTGTGGGGAAACTAAATGCCAGTACAGAGAGCACCCTACCTCTGGAAAATCTCCTGCAGGGTTTCCCTGGTGAAGGCGTTGCTGTCCTGGAAGACATTGTTGAGGGCATGGAGGGCACACAGCTCCCTGCGCTGCTTCTCGTGGTAGATGTGCAGTGGTGGTGGCTGATGTGGCTCCGGAGACTCCGACTTGCTCTTGTCACCTTTCCATGGCACGCAGCTCATTTTCCCGCAGGGTGGATGGAGAGTGGGTGGTGAGAAACGAAGAGGGCTGGAGTTTGTGCCCCCACAGTCACAGCAGCAACCCACTGCCCCTTGCTTTCGTGGGCTAATGCTGCTCCCAGCTCACAAACCCTCCTCTTGTGCTTGGGTTTATTCAGCAATTGCCTCTGATGGCTGGTTTTAAAAACCACATGAAGATCTGCAACGTGTTTTTCCTCCCTCCTCCCATACCCCATAAAATCTAACACTTCCCTCCCCTCCACAGAAAAAAAAAAGAAAAAGAAATAATTAAAAAAAAAAGAAGTCAAAATATATGATTGCCCTTAGTGTCAAGGTACCAGCTGGAACTTATCACATCGCTCCTTTTCTTCCATCTCCTTCGGTCTACAGTGCCACTGCAAAACAAAGAGAGGCCAAAGTGCCGAAGGGCAGAAGATGAAGCCACTTCTGGTGCTGCCTCTGTGAGCGCTGGGAGCTTAAGCACGTATCAGCTGCAATCCTCCATTCCTTCGGGAACGGCAGAATCCAGGTAGGAAGATGCCAAGAGCTCGGGGAGAGGAAACCGCTTCTTGCTAGGCCACGCAAGGGGAAAGCAACTCCTCAGCAGCCACCCTGCGCTCCGACAAAGGGAAGTCTCCGTTAGCCGTGCGGGAGGCAGCACAAAGCGCGTGTGCGGGAGCCAGGGGAGGGCAGGCGGGACCGGCACCTTCCCGCCCGGCCTGCGCTCCCACCGCCAC